TTGTGCAGTGGCTTTTGCTTTCCTTACATATTCGAGCTTTGCCAAGAACTTTGTGTTTCCTGCTTTAATTTTCAGCTCATAACTAAACTTCATTTTGCAAAGTCAAACCAGAGCTTTAAAAGCTATGCTGACCATCCTCAGCCATTTGCTTTAGTTTTTTGCCTCCAGCTAACAAATGGACAACAGCTTCCTTTTTTCCATTCCCACACCCCATAATTTTGATCATCATGAGAATTAGAATGAACTAAGTCTAGCCCTTTTCCCCCAGGAGCTTAAAATGCTTCAGGAGGAACTCACTGGGTATTCTTGTGTCTAACTCTGCAAGCTTCAGTACACTTCTGACCAAATGTGTGATTTTGTACAGGAAGTTTGAAGTGATTTGATTAACCCAGTTACCAATGAGAAGCAGTGGACCCTACACTGTACTGTCTCCTCTCCTCTCTTCCATTTTGGTTCTGTTGTCAAGTCCATCAAAGTTCTCCAATAAAACTCAGAGTTTAGATATTACTAGGCTAAAACTTAAAATGCATTCTGTCCTCGGTAGCATGCGAGGCAGCGTAGGGCATAGAAGATGTGGAGACATGCTCTCTCTGCCCTCCTGTGCTTAAAGTCTGGGATGCAGGAAAGTAAACAGAAAAGAAATATAAGTTTAGCAAAAGTACAAAAGAAGAACATGTGAATGAATGGAAGAGAATGCCAGAGAAGTTAAGAGGGGTGAACTAAATTCTCGTAGGAGACGGCTTTTACAATGGATCCTCAAGAATGGTGAGGGCTTTCTTGGTGGAAGGAGATCTTAGGAGACGTGATGGTGTGTAGGCAAAAGGAACATCCTTAGGGAGCAAAAGGGTGTTTGAAGAATGGTCAAGCAACTTTTGGAATGAGTGCAGAGAAGAAAGTACAAGGACCTAAACTTACCTATTGGGAAATTTCCGCTACAGGTGTAGGTGATACCATTTTAAAAGATGGACTGACCATCCAGAGGTTTAGATATCAGCTCTCACTCTGTTCCTGGATGACCTTGGACATATCACAACAGCCATTCGGGCTGAGTCACCTATAAAATAAAATTGAAAAAGCACGACAGCAAGGGCTAGTTGATGCAACAACCAACAGATATTAAATGTTCCACAGATGTCAAGTTAGGACAATCGGGGTTTAAGCCCAGGTGCTGAAATAAAACGGAATTGCACCTGGCTCAAGTCTAACATTGTGAAGGAAACCTTTTGCCCCCACCATTTCCTAGGTACCTAATACTATGAGAACACAGGAGTATATTCTCTGATTTTTACCTGGTAAACATTTTCCAGAAGGCTCTGGGGACAGTTGCTTTGCTTTGCTTTCCAATGAAGGTGAGCTGCTATCCTGGCACCCTAGCCACCATCCTGTCTCCAAAGTGGCACCATGCCCTGCAGACACCAAGCTGGCCATTTTCTACTTCTCCAAAGACAAATGTGATAAGATTTGCTTTTTTAGATTGCAGCTGCATCTTTCTTCCGCTCCCTTCGCATCCTTTCGACTCAGCAGTTTTCCTTTTTGCTCCAGATAAATTGCTGTTAATTTAAATGTACTGCAGATCCTTGCCATTTTATGGCTGATTGCTTCTGAGTAATAGGAGGAAAACGTGTGCACGTTTGAATGTAAAGAAATCTAAATGAGTCGGAAGCCAATGGCAAAGAAAGCACAGTGCTTCACTGACCTTCAGCCCCCCAGTCCCTCCCTTTGGAGAGGTCAATGAGCAGATCCGGAATCAGCAAATAGCAGAGACACATCCGGTTTTTCTTCTCTGCTTTCAACTTTACATCACATTTCTCATTCAGCACCTGCTTTATCCTTGTTCTTATTTAGCTCAACTAAGTGTAAGCAGTGGTGGCAGAGTTTCTTTAGAGTTGTTTTTGATAAAGGAGCTGTTGTCACGATAACTACCGTACACCATCGGAATTCTGCAAACGCTTCATAATGTCACATTGTCAAAATATCTATATTTCAGGCTCAGAAGCTAGACAGCTCATTTGGCTGCTAAACCCACAAGATGTTCAGCCATTTGTTGTGGTCTAAAAACTTTCCCCCTCACTAGGAGAAAATAATTATCTGTTGTTTTATATCATTTTGTGGCCCCTTTTGTGAGTTTCTTATAATATGAGAGGGCATAAGTCATAAGATCCCGGTAGGTAAATTGGGGCCCTAATTGAATTTTACTGTCAACCCCTTGGAAACATGAAGCATGGGATGCATTTCCTTATAAATAGTCAAGTCTTTAAATCAAACTAATTTTTCATGAGATGGTGGTGTATCTTAAGTGTATCAACAGTATGTGAAAATCAAGGGTCTGGAGAGGAGGCTGACGTTCCTTCCTTGAGGTGAGGGGTGGTATCAAGTGATGCTTTGAACAGAGACACTGCATATTGCTTATCATTGTAACAAGTTGGCTTTTCATCAAGAAAGTCATCGAGTGTGTTTCTTAGGGTGGCTTCACTTGCTTTTCTTGCATGGGTGTGTGGAGCTGAGATGTGTGTCTCTGAGAAGGGTACAAAGGCAAAGCAGAAGAAGGTTAAACACGACATCAGCCTAGATGGGGAAGATGCTGTTGCAGCCTGAGTGGATGGCAGTCCGAGAGAGCTTGCATTTAGCCAAGCAAATTGTGTCTCCCAACTGGAATAATTAAAGAGCCTGTAGTGGAGGTTGGGGAAGTTCATGGCAGGAGAAAGTGGCAAATAGAAGCAAAGGAAGAGC